GGCAAAGATGAAACCTTCCAAAATAAAATGCAAAAGATTCCAAAAGGGTAAAGTTATGTAATTAATTAAATTTAAAATGTCCCTGTTATGTCTTTGTGATAAAGAGTAACACGATCCGTTTTATTTTACAGAGACACTCAGGTTACACTCCTCGACAAAAAAAGAATGAAATCTGGTTTTGAACTGGAATGTCACCTATTTAAATACAAAAGGAATCACTACAGTTTGACATGAAAACAGCATTTATTTATTTCACTCTAAAATGATCACGACACCCCAATTCTTGCAGAAGGAACTGCAATTTTAGGAACTGCTCACTTTAAAGACACCTCAATAAATAAAAAGAGGTGTGTACAGTATGTGTTTTTTTTCACATTTTTCCCCCACCACTGCACCTGGTTATTACCCTCTATGTGAATCTCTGCAGCCTGCACGCTGATAGCACCCCCCCCGAGAGACATGAATGCTATGCCACAGTTATTTATGTCAATGATTCTACAAGTCCATTTCACCTTTATTGTCAGTCCTCTTTTTGGAAGCAAGAGACACCAAACCCAACTTTGCACCTACTGTTGGCTGTATCAATGAAACCAGATTGCCACCTGCATGGCTAACATGATCAATGTTAATAACAGGTTTCACTGAGAGCAGCGGCTCAAAACAAGACGACTGCCAGCAACCAGTGACTCCAACAATCCACAAGTCCCAGCATGGATCATAGACAGAGGAGATCCAGAAGAATTGGGTGCCTCCCTTTGATGAAGTTATTTACAGCAAAACACAGCACAGCACAGGACAGATCTTTAAGATATTTCACCGACACACAAAAAAACACACAGCCACAGAACCAGAGAGAAGCAGAAACCTCTCTTCAACAATGCATCATTCACCTCTGTCTTCTTGCTTCATCTTCAAAGTTTGGACAGAAAAAAAAAATGGATTTCCAATCCTCCTCTCTCTCCCGTCTTCTTGGTAACAGCAACTAGCACCGAGTTTATGCATTGTCATGTGGAACAGTATTGATGGAAGAGGGCAAACAGAACATTATTGGCAATCAGACCTTGGGACTGCAGGCACTGCACAGAGAACGAACGATGCTGGCCTACTCCCTGGTCATGTACAGCCCTCAAGCTAGGTCTTATCACAACGGTTCCTCTGAGTTGCAGTGAAGTATCTGACTGGACAGCAGCAGTGTAATGGAAGCACTGGTCAACATACTGTACCACGCCAAGGAGCATGAGCTCATTTTGGGGCACTCACCTAGCGTAGGTGATAATCATCCTTTCACTGGGTCTCTACCTGCTGCAACCTTTTTTTACACAAATAATGGTAACAAAAATGAAAAATAAAAGCAGATTGGCCATGACTGAAAAGTACCTTTACTCTCCTCTGTTGTCTTCTTGCCTTTACCTGCAATCAATTCCAACAGAAAGATTCTCAAAGAGAACCCCCGCACGTGGTATATTGTTTACAAGTGTTGTCATGTCTTGGCTACATAAACAGCAGTGATAAACACTCAGTTTAGCTCCAGGGCTGAATTTGATTACAGCCATTATTCACAATTAGCTTAACCCCACTTCACTTCTTATTGCTGCTTGACTGTCTGCAAAAACAAAAAGAAAATGTGGGTCATGATTAAAAAAACAAATTAATGAGCTGGAAATTGCAGGACTGCTCACCTGAGCCCGTATAGTGATTATGGAAAAACTAACTTCTGCTCGTCAGAACACAGAGGCAATCCTCTTCCCTGAACAGTTTACTGCCAAACGAACAGCATAAACGGCACAAACTGACACCTCAAAAAAGAGCTGTCTGTCTAACAATAGAGGGAAACTTCTGAACAAGTGAAGCAGAAAGTACTGAACTGCGTGAAACTAAATCAGGCATACAAAATAAGACTTGGACTACACAGGAAGATGCTGTGGTTGTACAATACTGTTAAGTGTTATATAATTCTGTGAAGTGCTGAGTCGTAAATTCTGCCTTTGGTAAAGGTTTAGTAAACTCGGGGAAGCTTTGATTAAAACCTACCATATATAAATGTATATAAATGGCAGTGTAACCATAAGCATTATTCACTGGGTTAAGACTGCCCTGAAGTACACTAGAACTTTATCATGAGGTCAGGATTTAAAATGGGTGCCCATTGTACAGTATGACAAATACAGCCCCGTTTTGCTGGAGAAAAAGTATTTTCTATCATATTTTAACTATAATTGCAATTGTGGCAGCATTTTGTTTTACTGTTTGAAAGAAAATCATTAGATTTCAGATAATGTTTACAGACAAAGCAGCTGGGCTGGTTGCTTTAAACATTTCCGATTCCAGGTCTGTTGAGATAAGTCCGTGAGATCACTGGAAATGCGTTTAAAAACTAAAATTTATAGCAGTGCCTTGCAAGCTTGTCAATCAGGGAGTTATTCATAAATACATTACTCGGGACATATTTATACTCAAATGTGTCCGCCAGCTCTCCCATCCAGGTACTGACCAGGCTCACCCCTGCTGAGCTTCAGTGGGCTGCCAGATGTGAGTTGCAGGGTGATATGACTGCTGGCACAAATAAACAAGACTACTGACAAACTAAAGCAAATGTAAACGTCTGTTTATGTACACCTGGTTTGTGATTATTATTATTTTTTTCCCCTGTCCTACATGGATGTTTATTTCTGTTTATATGGAGAGATTTAGGACCTGCTACATGCCTTAGCCAGAAGCTATTCCACTTTCCTTTGACGAACAGTAAAATACATCCAGTCCTACACATTGCATAATATCTGAGTGCAAGAGGTTAGAGTTATATAAATCTAATAACTGCCTGACAGCATGTAAATAAAACCTTCTTAGCCGTATAATAGCAGAATTATAATTCTGAATGGAATGACTGCAATTTATCACATTCTCTAGATCATGTTTGTGTTAACTGTTTCATGACATGACTTAAGCAACATGTCAGTATTAAAGACTTGCGTGTTAACTTTCAATTCATCGAATAAAGGAACACATGCAGAAATGTACTGTTCTCCCTGATGGGCAAAAAGAGAGCCACCTGGAACCTGCACTGTGGAAAAACTACTGCATAAAGAATCAAATTCGTGATTTCTATGAAAAGAAAAGCAACAGATATATTTTTAATTAATTTGCAGCAAATCTTCATCTAAATTATTTTTTCCAGCTGCATATTCTCAGGGTACCCTGTACCACAATTACACTAGTATATCACCATCTAATTTTGTCCTCTAAGCAGGAAATACCTCATGTTCCAGACCATCCGTATGCTGTTTATATGCTTAATCTTCCCTTCTCGGCTCTTGTGCCGAGCCCAGGTGTGAATTCAGGGAACTGGATCCTGCTTTTAGTGTTTGTGAAGGCGATACTCAACAACAGCATCCTAAATGCAAAAGGAAACGGATTCATTTTCAACCAGTGAGGCATTCACACTGTTGGTCCAATTCCATGGAGAATCATCACTCATCATTGTTAATTCAGTGCTGACTGCCTGCAAGCTTATCAGATAAGTGTGTGCAAACACATTGTGAACTGTGTGCATCACAGATATCATTAAAAGTGGTACGCAATCACCATGGACAAGGTACAGGCATTAGGAAGCAGTGTTCCACATTGGGATTAGAATTACCACCCCTCTGGTCAGAAGTCCAGAACTCTACTATACCATTCCATACTGCCACTCCCATACAGCTCAAGACTTTCCTACCTCATATGAGCAAAAGAGTAGGCTACAAACTGGAAGTGCCCATTCAGCTTGTCTGGCTCATTCGGTACTTAATTGGTCTAAGAATCTCATCCAGCCATATGGAAAGAAACCAGGACATCGGTTTCGTCAACCTGGGCTGGGCGGCTTCTGTATTCCCACAACCCTTTTGGCAAAGTCGTGCCTCCTGTTCTGGGTTTTAAAATCACTTACATCTAAAATCCGCTCATGTCTACCGGTTTGTGTTACACTAGGTTGACTATCGGTGCTTATCGGGAGTCCGAAGACCCGCGTCTCCTCTTGGTTTTCTCTGTTCAGCTCCTTCAGCCTGTCACTGTAGGACGTTCCCTTCAGCCCTGCCATTCATCTGGTAGCTCTTCCCTGCCCTGATTCCAGAGCAGCATCTTCTATACCCAACTCTCCCTTACTCTGCACCCCCCTGCCCATCAGGTCCAGCCCTCGTCTCCGTCTTTATACCCACCCCTCGTCATCTCCACTCACGACCTGCTTCCCACACGGGAAGAGCACCTTTCAAGAATTTTCTATTCCATTTCCACTCCTACTATATGTCTGCTATTCCGCCTTCACACCTCATTGATTTAACTGCTGTATCCAATGTGATGTTGCTAATTGTATAAAGCTGCAGTTAATAATGACAATCACAGCAGTAATAATCCTAAAACCTCTAGTCTTCGGAGAAACCATATTAATTTCACACCTCATCTTTGTTCCTTAGGCTCACCTTAATGATCCTCCTGTTATAAACAAAACACAAAAAAGAAACAAGAGGATGATCTTGCTCAGGGTAAATATATGTCACATGCCATACATGTGTATGAACACGTAGGGGCCAAGACTGCATACTGGGGAAAAAAAAATCAACATTTCAGGTGTGTGGGGAGGTGAGGGACAGAGCAGGAACAGGCAAAGAGGGTAACACAAGCAAGAGAACATGAGACGGGGAGGGCTGAGACTGGGTAGGGTGTGATGGGAAAGGGATTCGGAAGAAATGGGAATCCGGGAGATTAGGGCCAATATCAGTGTGGAAGGCAGAAACCTGTATTCCCCCCCCCACACACTCCTGAAGCATTTTCTCTTCTTTTCACTCTCCTTTGCAGAGGGCAAGTTCACGCAACCCCCCCCACTCTACACTACACACGCATCCGCTAAGAGCACTTGCAGAACTCAAGCAAAGCTGCTTCTAGAATGTAAAACATGTCTGTGAAGACCCCCCCACTTCGGAGAAGGTGCCTGCTGCGCGACGCGGCCTGCTTCTGCGAGGGCTCACCTGTAGCTCGGTGTTGTTGGGCACGTACTGGTCCTGCTCCCCCATCAGCAGGTCAATCGCTGGGTGTCTGCCCTCCTTTATCACGATCTGCTGCTCGTCCCCCAGCACCAGCGGCCTGCGCAGGTCGCAGAGACAAACGGCAGCATCACTACCACAGCCCATCCCTTCAGGAAGGGGCTGCCGAGGTGCGGCACGTATTTCACTCGTGCTGAGGCACGGTCTCCTTACTGGAAAGGGTACACAACATTCGCAAACAAGAGCAGCCATTCATCCTGACTAGCTCAATGAGGTGTGACAATACCTCAACAGCAGGGAGTGTTTGTACCTTTAGCTTTGTTCATAGGAAATAATTGAGTTTTTCCTTAAGTAAAACTCTATTATAATAGAACACAAATGTGACGCGAGACATCTACAAGGAGGTGTTGTAGCAAACACCGCACTGACTCGCTGCTCACATAACTCCTGCAGCTTGCGAGTTCAGCTGTGTTGGTAATCATGAAATCAGCAAGATGTTACTCAGATATTAACAGGTCTTAACACTGTAAGCATTTTCCCCCACCACTGCAGTCTGCTCATCTGTGTGGGGATCCGTGTGCTCCTCAGTCCCTTGAGCATACCTGTGATCTAGTTGGGAGTTTAACAGGGTACCCCTAACAAAGCTATCAGCCACCTGGCAAAGACAGAACAAAGATTACATCAATTACCTGCAGTAATTGCCTTGCTTAGCAACTTCTGCCAATGAGAAGATGCAATCAACGGTTGCTAGGTGACAGACTCCTTTCCTGATAATGTGATAGTGTTCTCCAAACTGACTGTGGGGAAAAAATGAACAATTAAATAAATCCGGGAATATGAATGCATTTATAATGTTCACACAATAGAGAAAGAACAATACATTTGAAAAAATGGCTGTCATTGACTGAAAAAAGCCACATTTACCTAATATATCCAGTTACCTAATATACAGCAAATTTCACACATTTAAATCTTCAGGTTTTTTTCTGTCAGTACTTAACATGCCCATTAAACATAAATGTTAGGAAACGCAAGTCAAATGAAGCCTAGACTAGACTCCCAGGTGCGGACAAGGATCTGCCGGCTGTCGATCACACTGAAATTGCCAGAGCCAGTGGAGTTCAATCACCGCCACCCACACACAGCCAGACTGGAAGAATGGGTTTGAACTGGGCCGCAAGTGCATCTGAACCACGTGAAATACACCCTGTTCGAGAAAAAGTTTATTCCATGCTGACAGGAGAAGACAAGAAATGCAACGTTTCAGCTGCGGGGCCTTCTTCAGGTGTGAGAAAGAGAGAGGATCTCTGGCCTTTCTCACAGCCGAAGAAGGCTCCAGAGCCGAAACACTGTTTTTTTTCTTCTCTTTTCAGCAGGGAATAAACTTTGACTTTAAACCTTTGCAGCTATCGCATGCTGAAGCAGCTCCCTACTTGAACTACTGACACCCTGTTCAAGCTGCCTTTACTAACCAGCAGAGACCCAGGACATCAGTAAACAGGGGTGTCCAATATTTTGGCCATTGGGTGTATTTTCCCCCTATTACATCACTGTGTGTTAAACATCTAAGTGGAAAAAAAGATAATCATAACATCAAGAAATGATTCTATAGGCAGGGGTTTGCCCTCTGACCTTAGTGCCTCACCAAGGCCTATTTAAACAATGAACTCTGTGAGCACACTCTCTGTCAGTCTCCAGTCTTGGTCTGGAGACCACATTCCTACAGAGACGTACAAACTCAGCCAGTACCAGCAAACCCCCTCTCCCTCTGAGTCGTAATAATGCATATACTCATAGTACATTCATATTCAAGATGCATTACCATATACTTTTTACATTTATTCCACAAGGGCAATCCTGCAGATTAAAACAATTCTGCGCAGTCTTTAATACAACAATGGGCTTGTCAAAGCCACGTAAATTAAACTCATTCAGAAATAAATCTCCCTCATTGACCATAGTATAACACACCTCTCCACCACACACACACAACGTAACCTGTGAGACCTTCTGCCCGTAATAATTCACAGACTTAAAAGAAGTAATACTCTTAGAGACTAATAAGAAGTAATACTTAGTTAACTTAGTCATAAACTGTGAGGTCAAGATGCAAACACAGAAGTGTGCTCAAGTGGCTGATATGGGGAAAGTGCCGAGAGGGCTATACAATGCTGTAAAACCAGATGATTTTGAGATGCTGGGTGAAACCCCTAGGTGCCAAGTAACCACAGAGCTCCTCAGATTAACAGGATCCCTGCTTTACAGATTACTGCATTAATTGCCCCCCCATTTCCATGTAATAGCACCAGGCCTCTGTTAAATCCCCGGCCTCCAGCAGCTGCCCCGATGCCGAGACGTACTGGAGGAATTTGGTCCACTCTTGGCCGCAGTCGATGACGAGCTGCTCTCGGAGCTGACTGAGGCAGCGGTACTTCTCCACAATGAAAGGAGAGTGGAACCGTCCTACCGCCTTTGTGCTACAGAGAACAGAGAGCAGAGAGAGAAAGAGAGAGAGAGAGAGGGGTTACTAAGCAATCAGTTATGTCTGTTGCCACAACACTCACTGGCTCCTTTCATCATGTGCTCGGCTGTCCTTGTGGTAAAAGGAGACGAGGGAAAAAAAATAATAAAGTTCCAATATTGTAGACATACCACTCCTTCTCCTGATGACTGACACAGAAACACACTTCGCCAACTTATTCAAATACTTGGGCAGTTCATCGAGACACTTTAGGCACTGTTGCTTTGGCTATACTGTATGCTTGGGGTCGCTGTCCTGTTGGAAAGTGAACCTTTGTCCCATTCTTCAGCTGACTGAAGCAGGTTCAGCTCACAGCTCTGCCTTCATTTGGCTCCATTCATTGCTCCCCCTATCCTGACAAGCGCCCCAGGCCCCGCCGCTGAAAGGCGATGGTGGGATGATGCTATACGGGTCAGGAGGCGTGGTTGATTCACGCCAGAGATTGTTGTCCTGTAGTTCTGTCAGGGTAGTCTTTGGGCTCTCTGACCCAGCTGCTCAGTTTGGGAGGACAGTCTGCTTTAGGAAGAGTCTAGGTGGTTCCATATTCTTCCCATTTCCTAATGATGGGCTTTCACCGCAGCACCACAGAAAGTGGCCTCACTGTGTGGTACAGCAGTACTACCATGCATGACAGAGATGCACTACAAAGGCTTGTGGCAACGGCACAGAGGATTATAGGTTGTGATTTACCATCAATCGGTGAGACCCACACCATCCGCTGTCGCAATAAAGCTCAATCCGTCATTCAGGATCCCAACCAGCCTGGCCACAAGGACCACCAGACTCAAGAACAGCTTCTATCCCACTACAGTGCGCATCCTCAACAGCTGACTGCAGTGCCTTAATACACATCTGCACTACGCCCCTTTTACATAGTCTACCTTTTTTTGGGGGGGGGTCTCACTACTACATATTTATTGTTCCTGTCATCCACGTTGTGTGGTTCTGTCTGTTGTACTGTGGATGTCCCGAGAGATCAGCGCGATTAAGAATTCCAATAAACTACTCTACTCCTCCACCTGAGTCGCAGGGATGCCAACAGCTTTCAGAGCCCGGACACACGGAGATAAGGCAGTCCTGGGAGCCACGCAGGCCAGGCCAGCCGGCTGCCAGGCTCTGAAATGGAGGGACAGATCTGGGCTCCTTGATGACTTTCACGGTACCCACCTGCTGATTTTCACCCAGTCAGAGGGCACTCTGGAAACCATGGCGTTCTTCACTTCAATGAGAAACTGCAACACAAAAGGTTCTGAATCAAAATGACAAAACTTTAAATTCTAGAAACCCGACATGCATGAGGCATTACTTCGGGGAAAGAGTTATGGGGATCTGGAGAGCGCGAACCAGCTCCGCTGTTGAAGCTGACACCCTGGCTTCTTTCAAGAAATATCTGGATGAGATCCTTGGATAAGTTTGCTACTAACCATAGGAAACAAATTATATACTGCAGCACTTTAATTGTTGAGATTTCACTTAAGTCATATTGTATAAATTCACAGCAATGATTAGTGCTTTATGTCACAAACAGGAAAGGGAACGCCATTAATTTCGAATGCATTTTGCCGAAGCAGAATAAACCGTAAACAGAATACCTCACTTTAAAAAAAATGTTTTAAAAAAAGAAATACTTCTTGCCTTCAAGTCTGAAACAGAAATAATCATGCAGATGCCAAAGTATAACCCATGTAAACTCAGCCTGCTGAAATCCTTAAACAGCAATGACACTTTTGTCACGCCTTAGACAAACACTGTGCTCATTTCCACACATTATTTATTATTTCAGTTCCTGTGCACAAAGAAAATCATCAGACTCATTAGAAAAGTAACATTATTAAAATGTAATTAAAATCTCCTCATCGCTGCATTAATTCCATACTTGTACCATCTTTCAAGAAACAAAGTATCTCTGGTGCACAATTAGGACCTAACCAGATTAAACATAAAAGCAAATACAATGACTATGGGTTTCGCACTACATGCATGCCACTGTTTTAAACAGGCTTGACAGACAGTAACAGCAGCAGCCGGAGAAAGTCCTTCTTTACTGCAGAGCACTGAGTGTGCCCAAGGCCAGCCAGCCCACAGGTGCTGCTGCTGTTACACTCTTCGGTTAAGGACTCCACGAGCTTTCAGGCATAGATTCTGCAAGAAGCAGAGCAGCAACAGGAGTAAACGCCTTCTTTTCATTTCACCCCCCATCCTCTTATTTCCCTGAACAACACCAGTAATCATGCAGTACAGTGGTGTAGAGGTTAGGTCTGCTGCCTCGCAGCTCCTGTGTCCTGGGTTCGATTCCAGATGGGGGTGTCGTCATTTGTGTGAAGTGTGCACATCCAGTTCACATGGTTTTTCTCTGGGCTCCCCAGTTTACTCCCACCATCAAAAAGCACGGTGAGCGGGTTAAGAGGCGTCTCTACACCATGTGTATGTGTCCACCATGCAATAGACTGGTATAAATCTGGGTAGTCTGCTCTGTGCTTCATGGACAGGTGCTGTGACTCTAACCCAGAACAAGCTACTTTCTCATTATGAACGGACGGGTGGCTGGAAAACTTGCAATCATTATCATGGAACCATTAACAACCAATAACGATTTGCAAGGTCTCATTCCTTGCACTTTTCTGAGAGTCACAGAGCAGCAACCCTCATTGAGTGCTTATTAAAGAAACCCTTGTCTGACAATGTCTCATGATGAAAGGGCCCCATTTCCTAAAAGAAAACAGCAGTGTGTATAGTAGGCAGACTATCTGCAGTAGCAGATAAAGTCGGTACGTGAAACATTGGTACTCATCGCTGATGATTATTCTTATTTTAATTCATGTGTTCAAATGCAAATGACATCAAAAAGGGTGAGGGTGTACAGCCCTTCCTTCTGAATACTATCACGGCAACATTCACCACAAGCAAGAATTGGAATCGCCAGTGCAATTCACAATTATTGCGTTTTATATTCAACTTAAGAACCTCGGAGTTTCACTACAATACTGATAGATCAATCGAACCCAACAGTGAGAACACCTCGGCTCTCAGGGCACATGCCCCTCAGGGAGATCAGCTGTGACGGAGGCCGTTGTGTTTGTGGGTACTTGGGAGATACAAAACAGAAACCCCTGTCAGAAGAAGGCCATGGCCTGAGCACAGACAGCAGTGTGTTGAAAGGGAGACATCAGTCCGGCTACTAGATTATTAACGCAAACTCCAAGGTTTCTCCAGGGACACGACTGAGGAGCACATTGACACAACAAACAGAAGGGCAGGTCAGGGTCTGCATACATATTCTGAAATATGATTCTTTTTCCTCCAGAACCAACACAGTAAGCGTTAGCAAACTCTCTCTTCTCAGTAATAACTTAGTTAGGGGTGGCAAATTTCTCTTTGTTTGTAATACATAATTGTCCAGTAATGAAGCATTTATCTATGTTACCAATCTGACTTTTGTTAATTATTCAATTAATCAGTTAATTTGCCCAAAAGCTTTGAAATGCTCAAAACGTCACCCGAGATACGAGCACCATGCGAAGTGCACCATTAACTAAATTTTTTAACAAGTAACAAGGAAGTTCAATAAAAACGATTTACCTCAGGAAAACCTACAGATACATAAACCCGTAAAGACTGAATAACGGCCTGTGTTTTCTTATGTGAACGTTCAGGCAGTACTTCTCACTAGGACACTGTAGTTCCCTTATTCTCTTTGTCTGCCACGTACTGTATTTATCGTTCTGCTTGTATTTATTGCTCTGTTTTATATATGTATGTGCTGTCACTATATATGTTTATTGGTTGGAATGTACTGTCTACATTAATAATAATAATAATAATAATAATAATAATAATAATAATAATAATAATAATTGCTTACACTTATATAGCGCTTTTCTGGACACTCCACTCAAAGCGCTTTACAGGTAATGGGGACTCCCCTCCACCACCGCCAGTGTGCAGCCCCACCTGGATGATGCGATGGCAGCCATAGTGCGCCAGAACGCTCCCCACACATCAGCTCTCAGTGGGGAGGAGAGCAGAGTAATAAAGCCAATTCATAGATGGGGATTATTAGGAGGCCATGATTGGTAGGGGCCAATGGGAAATTTGGCCAGGACGCCGGGGTTACACCCCTACTCTGTTCGAGAAACGCCCTGGGATTTTTAATGACCACTGAGAGTCAGGACCTCGGTTTTACATCTCATCCGAAGGACAGCGCCTATTTACAGTATAGTGTCCCCATCACTATACTGGGGCATTAGGACCCACATGGACCACGGGGTGAGCACCCCCTGCTGGCCCCACTAACACCTCTTCCAGGAGGAGGTGTTACATTACATTACATGGTGTTATCTGTTGTACCGTGCATGTCCTGAGAGAACAGTGCCAGTAAGAATCTCAATGTACATATGGCCAATAAACTCCTCTATCGATCTATGACCTCAGTTCAAAATGATAATGACTGCAGCTCAGACCTTCCACCCCTAACCACGTCCCTTACCTCAGTGCAGTCTTTTTCAGGACAATCCCTGATCCCTCCCTTATAACATCTGTTCTCACTTTATTATGTGGAAGTATGTTGAAATGTGCACACAGCTATCTGATCCTGGAGGCATGGTCAGAGCTGAGGAGCACATTTGCTCAGAGTATCCTTACCTCCTGGCCAGACACAGTCACGTAGTCTAAGCACGGGTTCTTCAGAATGAGGCGGACGTCCTTCCGGTGCTCCAGAATTTCCGAGATGACCCCCTGAATCTCCTCCTTCCTCCTCTTGATGACAGGGAAGTCTGTCAGGTCTGTAAAGAGCTGGGTCTTATCCCCTGTCCTGGAGACAACGCACACACAGTCCCCTGAGACCTCAGAGACGAGGACAAAGCTTGCGCTATTAACATCTGGGGGCAAGCTGCTGCATGCCAGGGTGACATCGAGATGGGGCTAGGCCTGTGACACTACAGGAGGTGGCGATGCCAGAATCAGACCACAACACGCGTGCTGGGCTCCCCAATCCCTGCTCCCCGATTTCTGTCAGGGGGCACTAGGAAAGAAGAGAGCAGCTGCCCTGGCCCAGCTACGTAATGGCAGGCAGTCCAGTCCATGGTGGATGGTACAATCCGTTCAGTATATTATACAACCGTTTAATACATCATAAAAAGTCAAAATATAAAGAAGCGTCTTTCCAAACATGATACTCTCACCTTGACATCTGTACCACATTACTTTCAAATTATTCCAAGGTTTATTTCCAAGGGACTTAAAATACTATGGTTTTCAGAATTTCAGAATAATTACTTTGGGTTTTACCAATTCGTTTTCTAATAGCATTGAATAGTACCTCTCAAGAGACTAACAAAATGTCTATTTTCACATATTCTAGTTAGAGCATAAAGACTTATAGATCTTTTCTCATAGTTACGGAGGTGGTAGTAATACATCGCCCACAGGAAACTTCTTTTTTGACTTAAATGAGGAATAAACTTAAGGTCCGACAACCCATCCACTTAGATGTATAGCCAAGAAGCATGATGGGAACTCACTTGGCTGCCTTCTCGTTGAGGACCTTGAGGAAGTGCTGTGCTGGGGACAGCAGCTGGGGCATGGTCAGGAGGAGGTCCTTCAGGAGGCTGGAGCTCAGCTGTGATTGGACAGCAGGCAGTACAGCTTGGAGCTCCGCCTCCAGACGAGACAGCGTGCTGGTGATGAGGAAGAACTCTTGTGTGGAGCACTGCAGCACAAGAGCAGAGGGCACACTGAGAGGACAGAGAATCCCATCACACTCCCCCCCCCCCCCCCCCGAGCCACTGGGGTACAAGGCTGTTGAACCCCACAAAAAAAGTCTTCACTTTGCGAAGGGCTTTGAAAAAATCACTTTCAACAACCTCTGAAAAAAACAAAATAAATGGAAATTGATGGTCGCTGAAATCCAGACCTGGGCTCTCTAAAGTAACCCTGGTCCTGGAGCTCCTCAGTCCAGCTGGTACCATGGGTCACTAGCATCACCTGTTATTTATAGATTAAAAACACTTCTTTAACACACTGATAAATTAATCTTTTCAAATAAGAGAACATGGCTCTGAGAAAAAAAAAATGATTTCTGTGCCAAATGATTACTTCATAGAGAAAAGGACTCGATTCGTTGATCGTAGTTACACTGTTGCAGGCCTTTAGAAATTGTTGGTTTAACAGTCGTCCATATAACAAACTGGACTGGACTGCTCTGTATAGCAGACAGAAGACGGCAGAATCTTTGCCATTCAGTCGGGGAAAAAAAAGATTCAGTTTGCCACTCTACAGTCTAATTATAATATTACGGCCAACTGTGTCTTTGCATTTGTGACCTATTGATTGCGCTTATAAAAGATTGTGGGAATGCAGAACAAGACACCCAGCCTTGTTGTTAAAGCCGATACCTGGGATCTAACCAAACGAGCCTGATCTGAAAACCTTTCCTTCCATTTTGAGACAACATCATGAGTAAAAAACGTTTTAATGCAGGAAAGCCAACATCAAAGGAATCATTTCCTAATTCCATTTCCCCTGCTTCCTTCACACCAGCCAGTACAGAACAAGAACATGCACAAGCATCAGTCAGAATAAGGCCTCCTACCAGGTAACGTGGATCTGTATCACTGTGATTACCAGCCTCATTTCGCTACATGAAACTCTACAGAGAAAAAGAGCATCTGACCAAAGACAGAACTCAACAAAAGACAAAAGTGTTCACGATGTGTTTCTGCAGAAATCTATTGCCCCATTTTTGCAGATTCTAGACTGATATGCATCATCGGTGCATGATCATTTAATCAGACTCTGAAAATCAAACAGTAAAAACTATTTTGCCAGGACTAAAATTCAAATGGAAGTACCTATAAAGTGTACAACACAAAGACTTGTGGGAGACTGGAACAAGACACCTAGCTATACTGTATTTTAGAAGTCAATACTTTTCTTCAGTAAATGGCTAGATAAGATCCACAGATGAATCGGCACAAGCAACCAAAAAGGCTACATGTGCGGGATGCTCTTTTTTTACAGACCTCTTTGTTCACAAGGCAATAGCTTGGAATTTCAAACATTTATTATTTAGCTATGCATTACAAAACACACAATATAGCAAAAATGCTTTTTATGCACCAAGTTAAGAGATGCACCAAATTGAAACATAGGGAAATGTGTGTTTTCTTCGTAAGACAAACAGGATCATTTTAATAAAACATCAAATGCTGAAACAAAAATGAGTGAGATAACGAAAGACTATGCTTTTCATGAGAAATAATTTGTGCCTGAAAGAATCTCTCTGGCAGGGCTGCCTTCCAGCTCTCTTAATTCCTACAGAATGAGGAATTCATTATGTACTGTAGAAACAGCTTCAAACAATTAGACTAAAATGTATTATAAGTAAAAAGAGTACTGTACATCTTTATACCAGTCACCATCTGCATTTGTACAAATGAACTGTTGCACGATTTAGAAATTAGAGATTAAAATTCAGTAAGGCCTGCAATCCCACATTCTTCAGAAATATGTACAGTTATGGAAATACTTCCTAAAGTACAGTAAACTTAGCATATACTTCCTGAAGTAAAACAATATTTACAAGCCACTTTTACTTCTGTCATATCGGAAATGAAAAACCGAGGTTAGATGCCACAGTTCAGAATCCAAACATTCTACATGACAGAAAAAATCTTAACTGATTCATATCTGTAGTTTTAATTTAATTTTGTATAGTTTGAAATGGGTGGGATACTGATGCAGAGTTTAGAATTGGTGCCTTGCAGTGTTGAGGTCCTGAATTCAATTCCTGGGGTACTATCTGTGTGGAGTTTGTATGTTCTCCCTGTGTTCACTTGGGTGTCCTCCAGGTGCTCTGGTTTCCTCCCGCAGTCCAAAGACATAACGGTAGGTGAATTGGCTGCTGGGGAAACTGGCCTGTTCCTGTGACGGACTGACGTCCTGTCCAGAGTGTACCCTCCCTTGTGCCCACTGTTTGCTGGGATAAGCGCTGATTCTTTCTCAACCATGTATTGGATGAAGTGGTTAGAAAATGAATGGAAGGAAGGTTAGTTTGAACCACCATTATCAATATACCGTAGCATGCAAAAGTATGGGCACCCCTGCTCAAATTGCATGTTTCACAGCTCTAAGTGAGAAGAAGTTAACACGATCTCTGCAGGGTACAAACTTAAACAAGACATATTTCTGCACAATTACTATTAAAATCGCTGAATTTAACAGATTGAAAAAAAATAAAACACTGAATGTGGCACGTGCAAAAGTTTGGGCACCCTTTCAGTCGATTCATTTAAGGCCTCAAAACTTGATTGACTTGTTAGGCCTTAAATTAAGCCAAGTGTTGACAATTCCAGAGCTGGATAAATCCTCTGACCCTTCTAACCTCTCGGAATGCTGTGCCGATGTAGTGCTCCTGGTTGGTGTTTCTAGGGGAAACTTCAAAGGAAACACTATTCCCTCAAGAGCAGAGCAGAGCTCTTTAATTCCTGAATCTTCTAGTCTTCAATCTTAATGAGATGGCATTTGTCAGGACAAAAGCCAGGTGACTAATGGGGCGAGGCCACTAGATCTGAGGACCTCATCCAGATGATTCTTGAAGTTCAACAAGATGATTAGATAGTCTGCTCCCGACTCTCACAACATGGGAAAGAAGTGCCTCCTGTTTTCAGTTTTAAACACACTTCCACGCCATTCCAGTCGTGCCCTCTGGTTCATTTCCCACTGTTCACGCCGAAGACCTCCGCTGGGTTGACTTTGTCAATGCCTTTGAGGATTTTAACCACTGCTGTCCGGTCTCATCATAATGTTCTCTCTTCAAGACTGACAAGGTTCAGCTCCACCAGCCTGTCAGTGCAGGAAGTTCCCTTCAGCCCCAGAATGCATCTGGTTGCTCTCCTCTGTGTGATTCCACAGCAGCAATAGCTTTTCTTTAACACGGTGACCAAAACTACATCATAATCTATTCTATGCATATCCCGTACAATTACTACATAACATCCATCAATACAAACTCTGTTTTTAAGTATAGAGCCGAGCTTTTTGTTTGCCATTTTAATTGCTTCCCTATGTCTTACTTAATCTTGCCAACACTGAAGTAATAATGTGCATAACCTGACCTTTTTAAATGTTATGCCTCAAGAGCTAATTCCGAAATGCTCCTTCTGACGCAAAGGCGGGTGTCCATTAAATAGCTGCGAGTCATGCCCTTCTCTCTACTCCAGGAGGTGTAAAATGTCAATAGCAGGCACCTCCTTCCAAGAGACTCTTCAAATGGGGGCAATTATAGATCCTCCTAGCAACAAGGGCAGAGTGGAGATGCCATGTTCCAGGTCACACAAAGAGTGAGAAACCTGGCCGTTTTCTTTTTCTTATCTCCAGCACAGGCTGACAATGGCTTTTCTTTACCAACGTTCCCCTTTTCCAGGTCTGCCGTGTCACACTTCACATTGGAGATAATTCTCCCAGATAATCTGCCCAGACACAAGAACTGCCAACGGAGCAGGATTAGGAGACATAAATAAATGTATGTGCTAAATGCTGACACACTGGTGCATGTTTTTACTTCATCAAGATCAGACCATTCCTTCTACTGCATCTTGAGCTCTGTACTTCTAGGACTCTGCAGCTGTTTGTGGACTAAAACTGTCCTACATCCACACATCCTTTGTAATCTGCTCTGGTTCGGTGTGGACTTTAAGGTTCTCCTGCTCATGTACAAGCCCATCAGAGGGCTACTGCGCGAGTGTTGTCTACCTCTTAGCCCTAGATCTGTGGATTCCACTTTCTTTCTCTACCAAAGACCAGGCTCCACACAGCGGGCGAGAGAACTTCTCATGTGCAGCACCACATCCACGAAGCTCACTGCCCAGATCCACTCAAAACTTGACTTTCGCTCTGGGTTTCACAAAGCGCATTTGCTGAGATCCATCCCCCACTTTCTGATTGCCTGTGTTGTATATAGCATGTGCTACTGTACAGCTCTTTGCGTTTGTTTTAAATTGCTCTTACTGTAAAATGAAATCATGTGAGTAGGAAACTAAGAAATTAACCAGGAACAAATCGAATCACACCCACAACCTCCCTTCGACAGACGTCATCACTTAAGTGGACAATTTCCACTGCCCTCAAGATATTGACAGGATATAGCACTGATTTCCAATTATAATGACAAACAGGAACACCTGAAAAGGGGATAAAGCTTTTCAATACTAAATGACAAACAAAAGACACTGATTTGGCTTCTTACACAACTTTAAAATACCCAGCGCAAAACCTTTTTAAAGCCGTTATTAGACTAGAGTTTTAAATTAATAATGAGGGCCTATGCTGAATTATTAAATCTACTAATTCTGGAGCAGGAAGGATAAAACAACACTCCTGAGGTAGAAGAAAAGGCAACCAGTTGTGTTCCACAAAGGAAAAATGACACAAGACGCAGCATTTAACCTTGTTTTTAGCTCATTGAAATTTGAACCTGCTGATGGTACGGCACTTATCCGTAGTGTGGATACCTGCAGAAAAGCTTTAAATGGCATTTTCAGGTTGCACTTCACCTCATGCTGAAAATGATACCCTGAAGTATATTTCTTTAATTGGGCATTGATGTAACCAACGTGATCTTGTGAGCAGTGACCAGGCCTGGTCAGCTGGTGCAATGGGGCTCCCTTCTCTACCGTGAAGAGCTTTTCCTGTTCTAGGGCAGTGGCCACACGAGCTTTCAGGAGACCTGGACAACAATCAACATGGCTGTCACCTGCCCTGGCCTCAGCAGTGGGCCTCACCTTCTTGTGATAGATGCTGCAGATGCCCCTCTCCAGGTCTGGCAGTCTGCCGAGCAGGTTTCGGACCGCGGGCAGAGCACTGGACTCGGACGAGAGGATTTCTGCCACGGCGTCCTGGCGCGTTCCGATCTCCCTGCGAGAAGATGCATGTTAGCCGGAGAGTCAGAACCGGGCTGCCCAGACCGCCGGGGGCTGTCACAGGGAGACCCGGTGAGGTGGTCCAGTTCACAGCCAGCATTACTGCCTCATCGCACTGAAACACTTTGCTGCTTTTTACACGAATCACAATGCACATCACGTATCCCTGCAGCAAAATATTGAAAACGGAAACCACAGACCAGAGCCTACATGGAGAGTGATCACAATTTCTGCTGCAAGCCAGGTGCAAGCCCTGCCTGGAATACAATGAGGAAAGCACAGTGAAGATCTAAGCCTCTCACCTTAAAGGTGCCGTTTTTAAAATCATACCATGCTCATGTTCCTGCTTTTTCTTTAAAAGAAACATGACCCAAAGGTTTCCTTCAGCCTGCACAGGACAGAACAGAGTTCAAGGCAGTAAACGGATGGGGGCCAGTGCTGCTGTTACTCCAGCTAACGATGCAAAGACTATGAGCTTCATTACCCCATTCCCAGCACTGACTTAGTTTGTATTGTGCTGGAAGAGTCACTTCACACGGTAAATCTAAGCAGCAGTGCAGAAATGTAGTTTCTAATTTAGAGAAATTAGAACAGATTATGCAATTAAACATTTCATGAACAATGACCTGGAAAACTCCAGACCGCACTATTAACTTACTATACTGCTCATTGGGACCACACATTTACAGGTCTTGTTGAGCTGCAGAGGGGGTGGAGGGAATCCATTAGCTTTCACTATTTAATCACTTATTTGTGGAAAGTCTCTTATTTCTGGTCAGGCTCGTGGGCAAACAAAGCTAATCCTAGGATTTCATCCAGAACAGAGACACCTATCGACCACAGGACACATACCAGAAATAATCGGCAGGAATCACTCGTTATAGTGGAACTGAGTGCTGACTACTGCAGGTTTGTCTGCAAGTAACTGGGAGATTATTTTTAAATACTCCCCACAGTTTGGAAATCTGATGGATACCAGCAGATACCAGAAAATTCACAACACTTAAACAGTTTACAGATCTCTAGCCCAAACTAATCTCTAGGCTTCAGATCTCACAAACACTACCTAAGAGAGCTGCAACCAATAATGATTATAAGGAACTGTACTGTACATTTGTTTCATTTATAATAATAAAGACTTTAAAAGTGGCTTCTCAAAGGACTAGACAGAACAAAAAATATATATATACAGGAGATAGTAGGTGAGGGGTTTAGAATGTAGCAGGAAAGAAAATGGTCAGATAAAGGACCAGTTAAGTAAAATCACTTCTAAAAAGAAAGTTTTGACATTAGATTTGAGAGTCCAGGGAACATGACTCACTGATATACTTAGGATATACTTAGATCCAGAGTTTTGGGGGGCACAGCAGGAGAAGGCCCTGTCACCTATAGAGTGGCTTGGGGTTCAGACAGGAGATGACCAGGATTAGACAAACAAAAGCTGTGAGGTTGAGAGCAGACCAATAAGTCAGACAGGTACTGAGGTGCCTTACAGAGCCATGCAGAGCCTTACAGGTGAGCAAGAGGATTTTGAAGTCGACATGAAACCTGACAGGAAGCAGGTGCAAGGACTCCAGGATACAAGTAAGGTGATCACTTGCACTAGACCTGGTCGGGATTCTGGCTGCCTAGTTCTGGACATATTTTAGTTTGTTCAGTCTGAATTTAGATACCCCAGTCAATAGAGTGTTATAGTAATCAATATGAGAGAAAACGAATATGTTGACCATCTTTTCAGAAACAGCGACGACATAGGATGAAGTCTTGTGATATTTCTGAGGTGGAAGAAATATATTTTGACAAGATCTTACACATGTGGGTCAAACGTCAAGCTTGGATCAACTATCACCCTCATGTTCTTCAATTTAGATTAAAACTGAAGTGCAGTACCAGCCACAGATGGAGTTACTACATTGGTTTTACACAGTTGATGGGGCTTCCCGAGAAGCATGACTTCAGTCTTGTTGCAGTTTAGAGGAGGAAATTTTGAATCATAATGTACATGTTTTTATGTCAGAGATGCAATTAGAAAAAAAAAGAGGCAGCCACATCAGTGTCAGGTTTAGTACAGATGTACGTTTGAGTATTGTCAGCATAGAAATCATCATTTAGACCATGTGATCTTAACAGATGACCAAGTGGGAACGTGTTAATGCTAAAAAGTAGGGAACCAAGTACAGAGCCATGAGGAACACCAGATTTAATAAGTAACAATTTCAGAACTGGAACCACCAAGAGAGACAAAGTGACAGCAATCAGTAAGGTAAGGCTTGAACCACCTAAGAGCAATGTCAGAAACACCAAACACAGTTTTAAGATGAGAAAGTAAGATATCCTGTCAAAAGCAGCAATGAGGTCAAGAATAAGGTTAGAAAGAAAACCAGAATAAAAAGCTATAAAAAGATCATTAATTACTTTAACCAGGGCAGTATCTGTGCTGTGTAGTTGTCAGATGCAAAATTGGATGGGTTTGAAGAGGTTATTTGCAATAAGATGGTTATTTAACTGAACTGTAACAGTGCGTTCCAAACGTTTTGCAAGAAAGTTTAGTTTTGATAAAGGGTAAAATGTGTTTAGGTTGTCCAGAGCCATATTTATTTTAACGGATTTGCTTTTATTTGTTTTTTTTGTAACAGGGGTTACAGCAGCACTTTTGAAGGCTATTGGTACCACACCTTGGCTCAAGGACTTTGTAAAGTTAATCTCTCATGCCATTAGACATTAGTGACTTGACATTACCCAGCAAACAGTACACAACTGTGCAGCACCGTCAGAGTAGGATTCAGATTAGATCTACATAGACAAGAGAAACCCCAGACCTCCAGGGGGTGTTAACTGCCTGGTCAGGCACTGTGAGGCTCGAAGCCTGTCAGATGACAAATGGCTCTGTAGCTCTTCCATGCTAAGCCACAGAAGAAGGCTGCCGGCTGTCTATTACACCACAAGCTCCATGTTGATCTTCTCAAGTAACATGTGGTCAGTGAAGCAGAAATATATATGAAGGAACTGAATCACTGTCTTGTCTCTCTTTAACCCTGATTTGTGCTTAAGTGGTTTCTGCACATTCCAAAGCAGAAGCCCTTAATCTTCTCCCTGTTAATGATGTGGTCACCGCATCAACGTCCCATATCAAATACAAGTCCAGCCTGTGGGTGGAAACCGATACTCCAGCGATTCGAGTGGGGAGCTGCGTCAGCGTGTAGGCTGCCAAGCTTCAAGCACAGCTTAACTCTGCCCCGAAAAGCAGAAAGAAAGAAAAACATTTTGGCTGGAGAGCCTTCAAGTATTTTTCTTCATTCATACCTTTCAGTTTGGTATTAATCTATACTTTCTCCTTCAAACCTTATCATTCTTATTGCTCTTGCAGTGCTCCGTTAGAAAAACACCATTTTATGTTTTTGTATTATTTGCTTCAAATTGAACACAGCAGTAAATACAATCTCGTCAACTCATCTCAAGTCTGAGACCTCTGATACTGCAACAACAGTTATGAAACCGAAGAAATATCAAATGATCAAAAGAGTCAAAGACTGCAACCTAGAGACACAGCCATCAGAAGTTATAAAGCCACTGAATGAAAAGATAATCAAACACTTGGGTAGCATCTCTCCATCACATCCAACAAGACCACAACTCATCACAGAGAAGTGCCAGGAGAACAATCAATGGCAGACAAGATGTCACAAAGCGGGAGAGATACGATGGGCAACGCGGAACGAAGAAAACAAAAAAACGCGCACAAATTTTGAAGTGAGCCCCGGAAGAGAAGCTTCTGGCACCCGAGAACGTTCTAGAAGCCTTCGAAAGCGCCTCCGAGGCTAAGCCTGCCTGAGTGCATGAAGTCACGGAGGAAGAAAGTGAGAGTGAAGAGCAGGGAGTGTGCAGGGATGACAAACTCAAGACCCCTGTGGGCTGAATAGATAGATAAGACTTTATTGATCCCGAAGGGAAATTGATTAATATGGCCCCCGGTGTTTTTATTACGGCCCATGTGAGGGATGTTTGTCATGAAGTAATTTGGCCCTTGGCGACAGGAAACCGTGTGTGAAAACTACAAATCCCACCAGCTATTTCTGACAAAATGGACAGAAGCTCGCTGAATTACGGCTCCTTCAGCACGCTCCAAAACCGGCAGCTGTGACAGTGCCCGGGGGCCTGACCATGAAAACAAACACTTGACACAGAGGGCAGATGCTTCAAGGAAAGGTGTGAGTGGGCATATTTCTTTTGCCTAGCAGTTATGAAAGAAATGAAAGAAATACAATTAGCAGCACCGCTGTGAATATAAAAAACAAAAATCCGGGTCTTAGGAGTGAATCCAAAGGTTGTCAGGAAACAGCAAAACATCTCTACATCTCTTCTCTTTTGAACATTTTAAGAACCATTTCATTTCCGATCATAACAAATTACTTTTATCCGCAGTATAGTGAATGAAAAGCAATGATTATAAGCAGCAGGGTTGGAAAGCAGCCCGCGGGTGTATTGTGAAGATATCAGATAAACTGTAGCGCACTTGAGTTCAACACCCCGGCGCTGGTCTGTTAGGTGTGGCTGACAAGGGCTCCTGCTATGACGAACAGATTAGCACAGCGATTATTACAGGAGTCTAATATACCCAACCACAAAAACTAAAGGTTCCGCTAAAACCGTTTTACATGGACTTACTCAGCTGATCTCAAAGGTTGTGTCACCCACTTCTTCATCAGTCTTTTGCCAAAAGGAGTCTGGGTATGATCCATCACCCAAAGAAGGCTGCCCTTTGTCTTCCTGTCCGTCTGCAGAAACAGGACAGGTTGGCCGTTAGTGTGGAGTAGCTCTAACTCGATGAAGAGAGCAAGGACACTACCACCGGTGGGTGTAGCAGTGACCACACCCAGGGAATAGTTAATTGTAGGACAACCATGGACAAACACAGAGTTTCTGTGCACCTCCACCTGTCCCTTGTCTGTGACATCAGGCAAAGACTGGAGACCGTTTTATTCTAATGGCGATCAACATTTTAAGATCTTTATCCAAGGCACTTGAACCCTTGGGCAATCATTTTAGGGTCACTCTCTTGGTCACAAGTCCCAGACCACCCTGTGAAGCGTCACAGTCACTCACAAAGAGAAGACGCGCCAAGAAATGCAGTAAACAGCCTATTCCGTTCGTGGGAGTTTACCCAAAGGGCCAGACTTGCTTCACAGTATCAGCAACTGATCGGAATTGTTCAACAGTGCAAACCTAGTTAGGTACCAAGAAGGGGAGGGCAGCTTTTTTTTTTCTTAACTTCTAGCTGCTTGAATACGCAGATGAAGTTCATCTGAAACTCCGAAGGGGGGCAGGGGTGAGCATTGTTTTTTAAAAAGCGTCGACCTCCCTGGGCGAAGCGCGTGGCCCGACTCCCCCAGGGACAGCTGCACCTACCTGGTTGTGCAGAATCTCCAGGTTCTTCATGGTGGTGGCGCTCAGCGTCATGTACTCGGCTTCACTGGAGAGCTGCCTGAAGGAGCTGTGGGGGTAGAGAGAGAGACCAATCAAGGCCTGCTCACTTCACTCACATCCAATATATTCGGATATTTAGAATGGAGAATACATCAGGACATTCATATCATTACACTGCCAGCTTTCATTAATTATCCTGTAAGACAAAGGCTGGCACAGACGGCGAAATAAAATAAGAGCTACATTAAGCAGCATGGTGGCGCAATGCTTAGCTATGCTTGAGCCCTGGGTGTAATTCTTGGGTGTTGTCTGTGTGGAGTTTGTATATTCTAACCATGTTAGCGTGAGTTTCCCCTGGGCACTGCAGTTTCCTCCCACAGCCCAAAGACTGGCATATCATTTGCTTTTGGAAGAAAACTGGCTTTGGTGTGAGTGTGTGCATGTCTGTGTCTGCCCTGCGATGGACTGGTGTCCCATCCAGAGGGTAGCCTGCCAGTTACAGGCTCCACAACCTGTACTGGATAAGCAGACCAGGAAACGAACGGATGGAGCCACATTAAGCAATCATTACGTCTAATGACATTCTGAAATCACATTTTAAAAGTTTGTTTTCCTAAATGCATAAAGACTCCAATATAAATTATCTACACCACCTGCAGCTAATCAGTAAACAGATTTGCTATGAATTTTAACCATTTGTTTATGCACAAGTCATGAAAGGTATGGATTGCACCAGTCATGTAGAAATGTTCGTAAATGCAAAAATATCCAGTTAACTTCAAGGATCAATTTTATCTTCAGTCCTCAAGGAAATATTTTAGGTTAGAAATAACAGGATGCCTTTTAGATTATCTAACCTGTTTGGTAGTTTGGATTTAACTGATCCGACCCTTTCTTGAAAGGAGCCAGTAAACCTGCTTCAGCCACCTAGCTGGGTAACTTGCCCAGACTCCCACAAAGCTGTGGGTAAAGAAACGCTTCAGTTTAGTTTCCACTTGTGCCCTTCTGTTTGTACTTCTCTGGTCATCCTGATAAGGCCCACTGGGCTGACTCTGTCGATGCCTTTGAGGATTTCAAATACTGGACCGGTTTTGTGTTGTGTTTCAGGACCCCTCACAATCTTCACTTTCCAAGAGTAGAAAGGTTAAATTCCTCCAACCTGTCGGTGCAGATAATTACCTTAAGCCTCAGAATGTGCCTAGTCACTCTTTTTAGAACCGACTGCAGAGCAGTGATATTATTTCTACAACATGGTGACCAATATTGTACACAATGCTCTAAACAAGGCCTTGTGAGTACATTAAACAATTTAAAAGTGGCACCATGCATTAATATTCTAATATAATCTCTAACCATATTGACTAATCCCCATCATTCGATTTCCATATTGGTAATCCTACGGTCCAGTTCCAATGCACATTTAGATTCTACACATGCATAGTTTTCATCTCATCTTTTTCACAGATTCTGCTAAAATGTCATCAAATTTCCAGGCCCCAGAGGCTTGCTAAAGCATCGACTGAGACACTGCAGCAGCAGCAGTGACGTGGGAAGCCATCATTCTCCACAGGGAATCTCCCTGCAGCTGTCTGGGCTGAGATGCAGGTGCCACAAGCTGGGTGTTAACTGTTACTACCAGACAGAGCGCACTGTCAGATCTGAGGAATCTGTTGAGCCGAAGGGACTGGAGCAGTTACATTTCAGCCTTCCTTAAACACAGGTTGTCAGCAACCTTCCACAGAAAACGGTATTTTACAGCATGACAACCTCACTCAGGAAGGCCAGCAATAATCAGTTTATAAATTTAGTTAAGAGTGCTTCTGACATACAGCATGTGAAGAATAAGGACAACTGACTGTTATAACAGATCAAATATACAGAATTTACAAGACATATATCTATCTATTTAAACCCATTAACAATCTACTGGTATTATTATATTTTATTTCAAATATTTGCTTAACTAGTGGTAGCTTCTTGCCTTCTTTGTTTGGAGACTGCAAGGATAATCTCTGCCCAAAGAGGGCACTCTGGGAGTTATTCAAATTCCCCTTGACAGGTATTAAACCACACTTGGCCGGTGTGAAGCAGAGACACATAAGAAAGTGCCTTGAACTGCTCAAATGCAGAGCTGTCCATTGCAAAATGAATGTCCAGGACCCCTCCTTGTTAGTTTTAAAGAATTCCTAACTGCACTGTAAGTATGCAAATAAACACTACAGCGATTAAGTGAACAGCATGAGAATAATATTTTAAAATCGGTTCATGGACGTTGCGTGGACACAAAACCTATTAACCCAGAAGAAATAATCCTGAAGAGGAGATGCAGATCACGTACTATGTGTGCCTGCACAACCATAATAAATCTATCCTTTCGTATGACTGTGACAGACTACAGCAAAATGGATATCTTGCGCAATGCAGAATTTGGGACTCTTTGTTAATTCCATTTTCCCGACATCACCAGCATTAACAGTAACATTACGTCACTGTAACCCTCATCCCCATCTACCCTGCTTGTTCAGGGCCTGTGCACAAACACACTCTCTACCAACTTTCACTCCACACCACAAAGGAGATAAACCTGACCGCTAGGGAGCACACTCTTCAACTCTTCACTTCGAGCTTTATGGCGTGACAGTTTCTAATCTCCTGCAAGATCTAAGCCCTCAACCGGGCTGCTGCATGTGCACCAGCCAGCCCATCACCTGCTGCTGACAGCGCCTCCACCTCTAAGCCATACTGCTTCTTTGGCAACTGCAGCTGTCAACCTCCCTGCTATTCAATAAGGCTGCTCTCCAGGTACCTCTCGCAGAACCCTGGTGTGTTGCTCTTTGCATCTCCCACCTCCACTTGACGAGGGTTAAAATGAAACAGGGCGACACACAGCTGCCACCCACCAATGTAACAACTAGCTGCAGCTGTGGCCTCCCAAGTGAGCAAAGGTGCCCTGTCACAGTCGTCTATTTAACTTCCTTAACTTAGATGTGCAGATTCTCAACACCAGTATACACCATCTCTTGTTTTGGTTCCCACAAATCCTGGAAGAAGTCATTCAAAGCATGCTATACCCACTACCTGATGGGTGGTACAGGGGAAAAAAACATTACCTACCTGGTACACAGCAGCACTTTGTCCAGGTTGAACTCAATCAGGTACTTTATGACAGCTCCCAGACAGCAGATGACAGGCCTGTCCAGGCTAATTATACTGGAGAGCAACTGCGATCCTGAGAGGGAATATGCATGCAGCACCATTAACACATCTAGCAATGTGACACTTTGAGAGGATTCACTTGCTCTGAAAAGACTGAAAACATGAAACTAAAATGTTACCAACACCAGTATTAAGCTCCATCAAGAAAAATATAGAAAAAAATATATCAAGTTGCAAACGTACACAACCCTATCAAAATGGGCTATTGCAGTTTTACTTTTTGTTCCATGCAGTATAAACAGCTGCAGATGTACTGACGCAGGTCGTCTCTAACAATATCTAAGCAAATTAGTTGCTAGTGTACACTTGCTTGACAAAACACTGGTGTGTACTGTAGATGTGTTCAGAAAATTGCACAGTTTTCACAGTTTGTTGCCTAAACAGCTGCAGTCATGACACTTAGAAGTAGCATTTACTGTAAATGTTGGGGGTTTCCAAATTTCCAATCAAACATACTCTGCCATGTAAAACAAGGGGCTGTCTTGCCAGTATCTGAGACAGGGAAACTGTCCCCTTCTCTTGTCATCTGAGGTAGTCACAACAGCTTAAGATCAAGGTGGCCAAACAATTGTACTAATGTTTAACAAGCCCTCGTGGACTGAGGGGGAGGAGTGAGACATGAAAACTATTTCAAATGAGGAGGCTGAGGCATTTTGGGCCTCCTACTCATTTCATAGTGAGGATTTAAGTGATCCAAAGATTTCATCCAGACGTTTTCTGAAAGGAGCAAACAGGCCCCAAGCCTAAAACAGGATATAAAGAATATTCCAAATCAGAGAGATAATGTAGAGAAGAGACGAAACAGGCAAATAGTGCAGTGAGAGACTTTCATCCTGTGTTAGCACCGAACTTTCAGATAATTTGAGCACTAAAAAGCACAACTCTGACCCTTAAGTAGGGGACCGTTGCTTTATACTTTATACCTAAATTTCCTACTGGTGGTATCCAAAACGTAAATATCTGATTTTATTTCTGGTTTATTTCCCTATTCAAACTAATACAAAACTGTTTGCTTGGTTCTGTGTTTCTACAGTATGTCTACGGTAGTGTGGTACAGTAAATATCTGTACTTAGCCACGCAATCCCCTGTGTTTTGTATATAACTGTGCATAAATAATCGTCCCTTTTAACTTTGTCCCATGATTATTAGTTACCACACTGTACCGGAGAAAAAAAAGAAAAATCTTGCAGTGTGGAGCTCAGTATTCCCTGGCAATAGAAGGTGTATAATCGTCAGCTATTATTAATAGTGTGAATAAATAAAACAGCAAGCTGCAGTCAGGACCTGATATTGATTTCAATCTGATTAGATTTTAACCTCACTTTACTCAAATACACACCCTATCATTATAATATCAATCTTCTCTAGAACAGACCAGACAACAGCTTGTTTCCCCTGCTATAGATGCCCACATACTAAAACTCAGTTGATAAGAATTCACGGGGGACTGACAGATCCATTCTGAAGGCTTTGTGCAGCCCAATGTTCAACACATTTCCAATATCATTCACCCGTGAGAGATCTTATGATTTCCACATCACCCTGCCGTATCAAAGAAAGAAATCACTGGCCATGCCTACACATTACATCAGAAGCTGGTTGCACGCTATGATCAAGCCAAAAACAGCATCACTGAAGGGCTCCACTAACTTTTTCATGTCACAGCAATATGTTCTGCAATTATGACACAGGACAATCTTTCTGATGACCTCTCTTGGTATTTTCTATCAACTGATGCTAGCCGTTCTGAAATTCTGAAAAGATTAAATTTACCTCACATTGTTTCTGCAAATCTAGTGAATGACCATATTGCTAGCATTACACTGTAGATAAAACACAAAATAGGCCCCAAGTATAAGAAATGGATTAAGCATTCGTTTACACATATTTGTTGTGTCAAATACAGATGGTTCCCAAAATTTTTGATTCACAGATATATCTGAATTTAAAGATTATGTTTTTAGATAATGCGATTGGGTGTTACTGCTTATTATCTTGTGCTTCTGCTTTAATCCCAGGGTAGTTAATTGTTTTTTTAAACTGCCCAATGACAAGCAAGTCTAGTTTTTCACAAGCCTCTGAAATTATAAGACAAATACATTGATCCTATCAGGCATTAATGGGAAGCAGGGGGAAAATGTTTCTGTTCTTATTTGTCATTGGCAGCTTAGTACAGGATTCAGCATGAAGGAGGGACAGCAAGACAGGTCCAAGGACTTGATCGACGCAGCACATGCAGTCAGGTTACCATTAATCTCTACAACAGGAGCTCTGGAGTGACCACCCCCTGAAGTGGCAAGGTGCCGTGTCTCGCACTGTCCCAGATCGTGGCCCGTCATTGACTGGCTGGCTAGAAAAGGTTTTTCCAGGTTAGAAACTCCTAGTTATAAAAACCCCAGACAGCAAGTGACCGACCTTAGTGCGCCGATTTAGTCCAGCCTCCGAAATACTAATTGAGCAAAGACTTCACTGTTCAAGTCCAGTTCAATTCCCAGCCACGGTGAGGTGTTAGTTAAAGCATATGAGGGAGAAATCAACAGATACTAATTTCATCTTTCCTTGTGTTCCTTCCCCTTTACAGCCCCCCTGGTCCTGCGGTCTGAGCTCCCCATACCTCACTTAAGCAGCAATAGCAGCCAGACAAGGCGCTACTGTGAATCCTGGGTGTACCTTTCAACAGAGATGAAGCGTGCCATTAAGTTAATACGCTAAAACCAAACGTTCTCGGCCCAAGATAAAAAGCAGGAAAAGGGGTATTTCAGCTAGCTCTAATTAAATTTTCAAAACTAAAGCTATATATTAAGATTTTCAAGCAACAAAACAAAGATTGCCCTGGGCGGAGAATGGCATAACTTTTAACAAGCTCTTCAGAGCCAACATAAACAAGCCTAGATACTTTCGAAGAGTGTTCATGTTTTCAGGTCTAGATGCACTGCAACCGGACAACACTAAGCCAGGAACTTGAGTGTAGCTGTGGCAATGTGTTTACTGGGATATTTAGAGCCACAACAGAAGAGTTTCCTATTAAAAATGGGAGAAGCAACTGTCACACTTATGTCATGCTAGGGGTGGGCGGTATAACCGGTATAGACGGTATACCGGTAGAAATATGTGCCACGATATGGATTTGGCTATACCGTTTATACCGGTGGAGAAGGGGTTTTGATGTTTACATAGACTGCGCCACCAGCATCGTCACAAAACGGGGTTTGGACATTTTTACTATTGACCCGTCATAGTTCCAAATTCTGCCGTATTTTAGCTCCAATGATATCATTCTGGAAATGTTCATCTTGCTGATATTTGGAAATCTGACAGGTTCAGGATTGTCGATCTTCATCTGAGGTCACTGCGGCCGATAAAAACACGCGGGCGTCCTCTTCCCTGTTCCGTGAAAGCAAACGCATGTGTCCGGTGTGCCCATCTACAAACACACGTACGCGGTGAATGGAGAGAGGCGGCGTTAGCCAGACGGGAACAAGAGACCCAAGTGTTGAAAACAAGGGGGCCTCATCGGTTGTTTGGAAATGGCTCGGATTTTGAAAAGTCGGACCGTGAGCAGAAAACGGTCATCTGCCAACGATGTCGGGCGGCGATTTTCAGCCAGAGGCGGTAATACGAGCAACCTCTTCTATCAAGACTGCACAGAGCCAGTTTTCCCAAGAGTGATCAGAGTGGCTAAGAAATACTAGTGCACCTCTGCGAGGGCATTCAGCACTGGTGGCAACGTTGTGACCTGTCCCAGATCTGTGCACAAGCCAGACACTGTTGACAAGCTCGTCTTTCTGGAACGTAATCTGTAACCTGAAGTACAATTTAGTGTGTGCAATGCACCCTCTTTTTCAAATTTTTACACTACACAGCTGTTTGAATACTTGAGGAGTTATTACCTTAATGCTTCAATATTTTTTTTTACTTATTTTTGTAATTTTGTTTTAAGAAGTATTACAAATTTATGTTTATACGAATTTTATGTATAGTTATTACATATTTATTTAATTCATGTTCATAAGTTCATTGTATTGTTTCTGCAAAATAAAAATGTTCGACTTCTACTTCAGTTCAATCTGAAATTTCACAACTACTAAAGGACCAGCACAGCAGCTAACCAACAGTTAAAACCATTGTACCATGGTACCAATTGTACCATGCCTATTGTAAGAATTAGGTTTGACTTAATTAGATTAAATTGTATGTACGTAATGTTCTATCAATCACTACTATGAGTACAGGATATTATCATGGTTGGTCAGGGTGCTCTCTTTTCACTAGAAATATTGTACAGCTCAGAAGAGTGTGCTTCATAGACATAATCAGGTAAATCTGCACTCTCCAAGTATAGACATCGCGAAAAATAAGTTTAAATATCAGAATAACTATTTTGCTCATTTAAAGATGTCATGGAAGATACATTCTGTACATTTGCAACCTGAAAGATAACGTAACAGGTCAAAACAATTTAAAGCAATAAAAGACCTAAACTGGGGTTGAGGGCAGCACTCCCCCTACTACAAGAAAAGGCTACTTATTTCTAACAGTGGTAGAGGCAACCCACAGCCTGTCCCAGAAACACAGGCCACAGGGCATGTCAAACCGCCACAGAGTGGTGCACAAGCACAATCTAGAGATGCCAATTAACCTCAAACCACCGCAGAGTGGTGCACAAGCACAAT